CTTAAAATAACCTATCATTCTTCCATTTACTATATCAGAAAATTCTTCATATATTTCCTATTAGATATTTAATGAAATAGAAAATATCCCTAGATTCTGTTGATGTGTGTATATAATAGTTGATAGTGACCAACGATTAATAATTTACTACCGTAACATAATTTAACCGAACAAGTCAAAGGACTGTAGCTATTGCCACTGTTGCAGGTAAAATCACCACTTAAATACGAACTAAATGATCGATGCTAAAACAATAGGTTACGTAGACGGTTCGACGAGCAGATATGATTCGCAAGCGAGCGTGGGTAACTCCCAAGATAATTACAGTAAATTATTTGTGCAGCAAATCATACACTCCGAAATGAGGCATAAAATGTTAGCCGTGGCTTGGGAATGAGACGAGCGTGTGTAATTACCCGTCGAGAATGTGGCCGAGTCCTGCGGCCGTCGCAGCCTCCCGACCGACTCTAAACTAGGAACAAAGTGCTCCGTGTGCGCTGTTGTGTCCTTAACTCGTTAATTACTCTCGGAAACTTAATGTACGTGTTGCAAATTTCACTAACTAATGCAGACACAAAAATTGTCATGTCGCTTTAATTTCACGGCGCTTCTGGCACTCGACCGAGTTTAATGGTCCCCATTTGCATGTAATGTAAATTTTAATTAAAAAGTGGTTATTGGAACTCATTTTTTTTTATTCTAAAGCTAAAGGCTTTTACTTTTACAATATTGCTATTCTTATTTCTATAATTATGTATTGTTATCATAATGGTATATTAATGTTAAAAAAACTACTTTATCAGTCGGTCGTACTCCACTGACTCAGGTACTTTTTCAATACGGCCTTGTTTTCTTTTTAAATATATGAAACACAATGTATTTTTGGTCAACTAACATTGAAAGTCTTCATATAACCAGTGGTCCCGTATTTCATCCAGACCCGAAAGTTATATAAGTCGGCTTATATTTTTTAAATTATTCTAATTACATTTTAACAAAGTACTTTTTCGGCCTGAATTGAATTCTAATTGTGTTACCATTTAATAATCGTTCCAAAATGCAAAAAGTTCCCAGCCATAAGAATTATGTATTGAAAAGCTATTAAATGTTTTGTTTAATTGACTTTTTTTAACTGCACCTTCAGCGAAGAGTGTTGAAACACTCATGTCCTCGAGGCATCTATTAAGACAGAGGAATGGTTTCCCACAGCCCGCTCTCGGTTCGTCACGGAATCAATATCGTCTTTTATCTTACGAAACGTGCTCCACATACGCACACCAACGCACACACTATGAACATTTAGGGCTGCTTACTCGTGAATAAATGAACAAACATAAGGCAAGATAGCGATAATTAATCCAAATTTCTTCCATCTAGCAAGTCTTTTTAACTCCTGGCATTTAATTTACATCTGCTCTACACTTTAATATGATCATTTTATCGAGTATATTTTCAATAAAATATAATTTAAAGTCACTTCTTGACGTAAAGTACAACTAGCATAATTTAAACGCGCGTTTCCTACATTCTATTACCATCGTCGAGGACGCAGATGTCGAATGTGAAAAGATTCATCGACTTTTGTATCCGAACGAAATGAGAAACCTTCACGCTAATTAAAATAGCTGAGTAATTTTTTGTGACGCAGTTTGCTGACGAGCGTCGAAATTTATTTGGGACAGGAGTCGAAATTAATTTTGTTCTTACTCAGAAGGGCCTTGTTAATGTTAGCGTGAACACTTGTAAAATGTATAATATTAGTGAGTAACTGCTCTTTTACACTGGACTACAAAGGTTTTATAATTTAAACAATGCAGTGTTAATTGCTGCAGTGTTATTGCTTCGCGTTGTTTGTATGACGAAACACTGCACTGAAGTTGTTTATAACCTATTAGAATTCTATTTATAAATCCATCGTGAGAGTTCGTGTATTCTAGTGCCTTACGATTTTAAAAATTATTAAGCATTTGAATAAATAATTTTGTATTGCTTTAAGATTTTGTTAGATTATATCACTTTTTAAATCACGATTAACCATTAAAATGATAATTTGAAAATTATCTATTTTAAACTAATAATTATGAAGGTATAATATGATAAATAGTTTGTTAAAATGTTAATTGTAATTTTAGTTTAGTGCTACTATACTAAACTACTATATATTTATACTAAATATTGTATGGCAAAGTCTGAGATTTAATAAAAGTGACGTTACAGAGACGTGATTTGAAGTCCTCCAAAAGGCATTGTGGTGGACTCTTCATTGCTCCTCCATAAACCTTCGCAGAAATGAAAGCATGCCAGTGCCTATCTGTGGGACTATAGAGAGGGTTCTATCTTCACTACCGACAAAGCGACCTTGTTATTTTAAACTAAAAAAAAAACTACATGTTAACCACCTAAACACGCGATAAACAACAACTTCACATGCGTATAACGGTGTATATATTATGTACCTATACTGCGTCATCTCTATATGGCTTCGTTTGTTCAGCTCAAGTATCGCTCAGAAATACGTCACGAGATGTCTATCTGTGCCATGGAAAAACGATCGATTTTAACACGTTCCCTTCCTAGTCACCTTATAAGAACGGATCGCAATTGAATAAGGTATAAACATACCTTTTTGAACCCTACAGCTGTTTTCAATCTTTATTGCTTTCCGTTCAAATACAAGATTCAGGATACTGTAAGAGCGGATCAAAAATAAATTTAATAATGTGAAATTCATGTCGTATCTCATTTTGCGTCAACTTGGCTTCCCTTACGATTCTCAATTGCTGTAATCTCTTATTGATCATTGGCGTACTGGAATAATAATTCTGAACAAGGCGTCACATAAAACGCTCAGTTAAGATATTTGAGTTCCATTCAATTTTAAGATAGCTATTAACGTCTAGCATTTCACAATAATGTGAATTGTGAATTACATATTTTCAGTCAAGTTTACAATTTAACTAGGATTATTGGAATATTACAATAGAAAATATTCACGAAACGCAAATCAAGAAATTTCCCAATTTTCGCCGAAAGTTACTGTTAAGATTAAGTGTAAAACAAAATTATCTCCGTAATTCAGTACACAGTATAAGAAAACATCGCGGCTTACGTTTTGGCTAAAAGATTTTATTCGAAAAATCTTAGCAATTCAGTTTATTTAATTCTTCTATAGACGACTCTATACCGACAGCAAACAAAGTTCCGTCTTTTGGGCTTTAAATTCCCTAATGTTTTTCAAAACATTCTTAAATCTGTCAGAGGCGCTTAAATCAATTTGTTATAATGTACTCGAAAACTCTGCGGTATCGGAATTTTTTTCTTGCATATAAAACTTAGGTGCGTTACTTCTTCAAAAAAGTGTGCGTAAACCTCTAAGCCTTTTTTATATTCTCATCCCTTATCTCTGCGGGATAATCCGAATCCATGGGACAGATTTTTTTTACATAACTTCTCCTCAACCCTTACTATAGAAAGTACATTTTAGCGGAATTTACATATTTGGGAAATATTTATTGGTCACATTGCGACGGACTCTTCCAAATTAGCGGGAGTTAATAAATTACATGCAATGGTGTTACGGGATTGTATATTTAATTTATATCGGGGTGACAAGATTCTAAAGCAAATAGTCCTGAGTAAAAAGGGTAAAGGGAACATGTACTCGTATTTGTCGCAAACAAAATATCTAAGTGTAATTGTTTGACATGCAAAGCTCTGAGATCAACCAGCAGTTTTTGCCAGCTTGGGGAGCGGAGGACTGTGATATGCAATTTACATTAAGCCTCAATTAAGCCTTCTCTACTTGCGGATCACAAAAACGCGCGACATAGTGCAATTTTCTGAATATATTCTATAGTTCAGAATTTGAATTACAGCAAGTTTTCGATTTAAATTTTTTGCAAATACTAATTTATTTATTAATAAATTAACTATGGGTGAATAATGGTACCATAGCATAAAATTCTAAAACGAATTGTTCTATCCAAATATTTAGTGTTTCGGAATCGCTTTTACATGCTTTTGCCATTGAGGTAATAGGTTATGGCTTTTTCGTGTTATTTGAATTATGTATAATGATTTCTTAAATTTACGCGAACACTACACATGAATGAAACTATTATTTACGGATTTTATCGCGTTTAATTACTTTAATTTATTTTTATTATATCCCGACGTTTCGGGTGCTTTACAGCGCCCATGGTCACGGGGGGACACCCCCGTGACCATGGGCCCATCCGTAAATAATAGTTTCATTGAATTATGTATTTTTAAAGATTGATAAAATAGTAAAATATTTTTATTTTTATTTTCAAGCAATAAGGCTACCATTATAACAAAACCTCGATTATTGAAAATTCAAATAAATTTAATGCGATTCTTCAAAATCCTTAAGTTCTTAATCTTACAAAAAACTTTCTATTCACACTTCAAACAATGCATGTTCTTAACAATTCAACCGCACCACACTGTTGAACATGGGTGGAGCGGATCGCGCTTTTCATTCTGTTGCGTCAGGTCTATTACTTACGTCTTTCGTTGCTTTGGTATTTTTTGTTCTCCGCCTAATAACTCGGCGAGCTTTTGTAGCACCTCGGCGCGGGCGCAAAAACTACAAAAGCTGGAGGGTCGCGCGGTGCGGGACCGAGGCGACCGACCGACAGTCTGCGACAGTCGCTAGTCGCTACTCACGGCTAGTCGCTCACGTTTACTCAACGGGGCAGGTCACAAAGAGAGTAACACGTGTATAAAAACATCTCAACACGCTTACAAATAAATTTGTTTTCTGTTTAAAGTAGATTTATAATCGAATATTGCGATATGGCAATTACGAACGTTTAAACTTTAAGTGGTGTTTAATTTAGAAAACGATGTCAATGAACGTTCAAACGATAGTGTATTAAGATGTAAGTGCATAAGGGGACGTGGAATTGTGGGATGTTGACCATCGTGGCCAATGTCTAAGTGTGAAGTGGACTGAGGAACTGGAAACCTTCTAAAAAATGACGATGAAATCGCTGAAGTACAGCGAAAGGGATGACATGATGGAGGGTTTCAGCCCTGTACCTCCGCCTCTACCACGACGCCAACCTGTTAGGAACATCTATGCTGAGCCCTTCGTAGATCCTAGGTAAGTAATTATTTAAAAATATTACCATCTATACTAAGGTTATAAATATGTTTTAGTATAAACAAGATTTGCAGTTATTTTTGTGTAAACTTCTAACCACATTTTAAGTAAGTACATCGAAACACTCATATTTCGTAACAAAAGGAAAAAGCTTTATTCATTTTTTATTGAAAACATAATTTGTCAAAATCATAATGAACATTACCAGTAAGATAAAGCATGTAACATCCGTCGTTAAGCTATTTACATAATAAATTACAAAACTTTTGATTAAACCGACGACATTAAAAGCTCTACGTGAAACAAATGCTACTAAACTAGTATTGGTGAAATGTAAAACTGTAATGAAATATGCATTTATACTTCCCAAAATTTTATTTTATATTTTTTGTTGAATCTACAGGAAACCAGCGATTGCTAAATCTTTCAGTTAAGCTTATTGTTCAGTCGCTTAGGTGAATCAGTTAGCACTTGTTTACCTTCACAACCCCAACTTGGTCCACCCTAGTTTCTCAACAACGTTTCTAAGCAATAATAAAGAGCCCGAAGCCAGAAAACATCATATACCGCGAGGCTATTGTAAACACTGGCGGCATAGAAACCCCACAAACCTCCAAAGACCATCTAACATTATTAAAGTAACTTTCAGAACTAATTTTGCAGTCCTTGTCGGGTTTCTCCTTAGAGCCAAAAATCATAGTTATTAAAATGAGTCTGCTCTAATTCGTATGCTGTTATTTAAATAGGATTTTTGTTACTTCGAAAGACCTTTTTGAATTATGCAAATTAAATAAAAGTTAAAGAATTTATAAACGATATTAAAGTTCGGACTTAGGCCCTTCTACATATCTCACTAGACCTAAATATAATTCCTATGATGGCTATCGTAAAAGTCTAAGGTGCTAAATAAAATGAAAAAGTAACATTAACTCTCGTAAATGTTTCCACATAATGACAGAGTAAGCAATATGCATCTTGAATATGCCAGGTCAAAAATATTCTAACAGGTTATGAGGAGCAATGTCGAAACGCACACGTTTTAAAATTTGTGATTCCCAATATGAGTCAAGTTCTGTTGCTTGTTAGTGATAATAGTAATAATATCCAGTAGATATCATTACTAGTAAATATAATCACTATCATCAAATAGTAATAATTACTTTCTAGTAATTAACCCCCGTACTATTAATTTTTTACCCCTTGCTGCGGAACAATGGCATCAAAGAATTCATTTTGCTATATTTTCATCCTGTGAGTTTCATAAGATTTATCGGCGGAGTAACTATTCAATACTTTCAAGTCAATAATTATTATTATTAGTAATAATAATTTTCAGAAATGTTTTAAAAATTAAAGAGTTGTGTTAGATTTTAAGCTTCACATGATAATTGGAGCACTAACAAACTTAAAGCGAAATACCATACTTTGGCGCAGTACCAGAACCATACTTAATAATTCATAGATTTTTTTATTAATGTATCTTCAATATCGACAAGAGTATAGATTACACCATGTAGATTGTGTGCTAATAGTACTGTTGAACTAGATAGGGAAGAACGGATGTGCGGTTCTATATATTCCGCAATAAATCATATTTTTATACTTGGCGCACGCTCCAACATCGCCGGCGGCACACATACTGCAGTTACAACCATCTGCGACACCCCAATTGCCGCTCAGCTTAATTTGGACAGATTCTGAGGGCAAATCCCGACTATTATATTAATAAAACTGAAACCAATGCAAAATATCTGCAAAATTGCTAAAAGAACTCATTGTTCCGTTATTGTACGCGAAACTATGTTTTGTTACTTATTGTTCTGCGTTTACTAGTAACTTTTTATACAATTATAAATGGTAATGGTATCACAAAATTATTTCACCTCAGTACTTTTCAAAGTTGTTCATAAATATTTATAGGTTTAAACTAGATATCGTTTTAAAAAAAAGTCCCGCTGATAGTATGCGAACTAAAATGTACAATATGGAATTTGACAGCAAAAATGTCAAATTTCGCGAAGTATGTCGTGCCACGGTTAGGGGATTCTTTAATGAAAAGTATTTTTAAACCGTAGTTCAAATTCGAGAATATCATTAAAACACGTTTTGTAATAAGAGGAAACTACGAGAGGTTCTACATTAGGTATACTATTAAAACATTACACTACTTAGTATAATGGGAGATATGATAAGGATATAGAACGACGAGTGAATGCGGGAAATAGAGTAAATGGGGCCTTGCACTCTATTGTGAAGAGTCAAAATGTGTCGAAAAAGGCACGTATGGCAATTCACAATGCTGTGTTGGTCCCTACTTTAACGTATGGTAGTGAAAGTTGGGTGTGGCAGAAGAAGCACGAGAGTAGAATAAACGCAGTAGAAATGCGGTCGTTAAGGAGTATGTTAGGGCTGAATCTGAATGACAGGGTAAGAAATTGTGTAATAAGAGAAGAGTGTGGTTTGCAAGATGATGTTGTGACCAGGATTAAGAAAGGAATGCTTCGGTGGTTTGGTCATGTGGAAAGAATGAATGAGGAAAGAGTGACAAAGAAAATTTATGGTGCAGAAGTGAATGGCAGAGTCGGAAAGGGACGTCCTAGGCGAAAATTTATCGACCAAATTGGCGATTTACTGAAAACGGGCCAAATAAGGAGTACTCTTAACCGACGAGCATGTATGCGTAGGTGTATGGATGTGAAGGAGGCAAGAGAGGTGTGTCAGGATCGTGCCAAATGGAAGTCTGTAGTTTCTGCCTACCCCTCTGGGTGACAGGCGTGAGTGTTTATGTATGTATGTACTTAGTATAATGCTTCTTATTGTTACTTAGGTCACTATTAAATCCTCTAACAAGTCCACTGTGGAACATACGCCTCCCCCGAGGAATGCCACTAAAAACGCTTCCATATGCATTCATCTACTTCCTGCATGTCGTACTATCTGCAGGTCATTACTTTATCTGATGGGGCATCGCCCTACACTCCATGTACTGCTGCCACTTGAAAACTTATCTTCCCCATCGGTTTTAGTTCTTTGCGCTATATATAGCCAACTTACTGATTCTTTTGGTCCTATTGTAGAAATAAACGTTACATTCTATGACACAGAAAAGCTTCAATCCTTGAACAAGTCGCTCCCCGTCTATAACATTTGCAGTTATTTTTATTACAAATAATTTTACTAAATATTATCAAATTTCTGACAACCAGCTTAACAAAACTTTTAAAAAAGAACTCCGAAGTGGTTTTTTGAAAGCTCAAAAATAATAGTCCGCACAACTCATTCATTGCAACTTTCTGCTTTTCTATTTTCTTGATATCGCTTTGTTTTCAAAATTAATTGTAAATAAACATTCGTAATTATTACAAGAAAGCACACAAAATAAATCATTACTGTTTATTTATTTTCTTAAATATATTAACATGTAAAAAGTAATAATAAAATTAAAAGGGTTTATGTTTTATATATGGGATGTACAATGCAACCCAACGTAAATCAAATACAGATTATAATAAATGTAAATATTCATCACCTTTAAATATTAATTTCGGTTACGCATTAAATAATAACAATCCAATATCGTACACCGTATTTGTCTAAGTTCAGATCTAATTTACCATTCCGCTTAATGACAGCAATTTGACATGCTGGTGCGATGATAGATTACGGATACACTGTTTGACGCCGTATACACGCGGTATAAAGAATGTAATTTCCTTTACAATATGCTAACAAGGTACAACAAGTCAAATGCATATACCGATTTGATGGTTAAGTGCAAGCAACAATAGTCTTTAGATAGCATCGCTTGCTGCCCCTGAGTATTCGGTGCGCTTCGTCGCACAGACAAATAAGGTTACGTTGTAAAGCGCATAGCCGTCTGTTTTAATGTGTTTTTTTTTTGTATAAAGGACAAGCACTAAATATAATTATAATTGCTTGACGACTAATTTACACGCTAACTGAATCCAGCTCTACAATGAACCAATAAGTAATTTTGTTGAACTGAGTTTTAATTTTAATTAAAATTATATATGTATAATTTCGAACGATTTTTTTTTAAAATGCTTGCTATCAATAAAATACCTGTATTTTGAGTGCCGCGTTTATAATTAACAAACACATCTACTCAGTACGGTGAATGAAAGTAAAGGAAGAAAACCTGTACTTTGAAAATACATACACGAACATTATTCTAGCATTATGTCTATCAATTTTTTTGTATAAATGACAAACACTAATTATTTTTATAATTGCTTGACAAATTACAAATTATTATAAATTTGCCTAAAACAATTTTTGTATAAGCCGTACGATGATGTGACCTTATCTGTAGTGACAACATAAGAAAATATGATAAGTGTAATCGTACACCTAGTTCTAATGACACTTCATACTGTCCATTCATCGCATCTATATTTTGATTGTTATCTGGACAAAATAAATGTGAGTATACACATACCATCATGTGGATAGTGCGCTCGTTTTTTGCACCCATACTTCTATAAAATACTCGGATATTCATGAATGTTAACCATTGCAATCAGTTCAAATGACACAGTGAAAAACCAGGTGGAAACAAATAATTTTCATATATCAATGCTAATATGTTGATGAAGGCTTAATAGTTACGAAATAATATAACTTGTTATACTTAAAAAAATGCTTTGCAAGATTCTCACAATAGGCAGATATAAACTTTAGGAGTTTTTGAATAATAAAACGAAGCCTGTAAAATTTAGGCGGGCATGATTCACAAAATCTTTAGCTACGAATATTTTAACTTGATGGAGCATCAAATATCTTCTTTTACTTGTATAACTTGAACAAATTCGAATTCATCTAAATCTTAAACAATATTCTTCCTATTTCATTAAATTCTTGACTATTTAATTTAAAAAACGTGTTAAAAGTATTTTTATAATATTGGCACGTAAAATCCTCTTGCAAATTATTTGCCTTCAAACAATTAATTATCTAATGGGTTTAATTTCAGTAATATC